TTTATGTAAATTGCATGAGATTATATTGTGCGTGCTGCCGGTTGGGTTATAAAATGTGTTTTATGCAGGTGGAAATTTTGGGGAAATGTTCAATTTACAGGGGGGACTCTGCCGAAATTTCGGCTGGAAGTCTCGTGCCCTTAATCCTCTCTGGTAAACGAGGACATAGATTTAAGGAGTGAACTCGGCATGGGGGTGATGCCGGGGTCTCCGCAGGGTTCGTCTCGGGTTCTGGGAAATTCGGGGCGGGTCCTGTCACAAATTCTTGATAATGTGATGGCAGCTTTTGAGACAATGCATTTTATGAAAGGCTTGAAGATGGGACAACAAACGAAGATGGCTATTAAACTTGATATGGCTAAGGCCTATGATCAAGTAGAGTGGTCCTTTTTGCAAGCAATAATGTTGAGATTGGGATTTGCTTCAGAGTGGGTCAAACGGATAATGGATTGCTTAACAACAGTTACCTTTTCGGTGCTTTGGAAAGGTAATCCATTCGGGCATGTTGTTCCTCAGAGAGGGTTAAGACAAGGGTGTCCTCTTTCACCATACTTATTTTTAATGTGTGCTGAAGGCTTTTCAAGGCTGTTGCAGAATGCTGAAAGGATAGGGAGTTTGCGTGGGATTCGAATTGCTCATGGAGCTCCATCAGTCAATCATTTATTTTTTGCCGACGATAGGATTCTCTTTCTTGATGCAACTACAGAATCATGTGAAACAATGAAGAATATATTTCAAGTGTATGAGGAAACTTCTGGGCAAAAGATCAATCTCACAAAGTCGGCTTTCAGGTTGAGCCCAAATGCTACTGTTGTTGAAAAACAAATAGTTTTGGATTTACTGGAAATTCCGTTGGTGTCTTGCCATGAAAAATATTTAGGTTCGCCTATGGTGACAGGTAAAGGAAGAAAGCAGATTTTCGGGACTGTCAAAGATCGAATCGGAAAACGAATTAGTGGGTGGAAGGAAAAGCTCCTATCTAGAGCTGGTAAAGAGGTCCTAATTAAAGCTGTGTTACAGGCTATGCCCACCTACTTGATGAGCTGCTTTTGGATGCCTAAGGGGATGTGTAAGGAACTCCATGGCTTAATGGCTAAATTCTGGTGGTTTAAAAGTAAGAATATGCGGGGTATTCATTGGACTAAATGGGAGACAATATGTGTGAGCAAGCAGATTGAAGGATTGGGATTTAGAGACCTTGATGCTTTTAATCAAGCTCTTCTGGCAAAACAAAGTTGGAGATTATTCTTTAATTGCAATTCCTTGGCAGCGAGAATTTTCAAGGCCCGATATTTTCCGCATTGTAATTTTTTAGAAGCTGGATTGGGGTATCGACCCTCACGTATTTGGAGTTCGTTGATATGGGGGAAGGATTTGTTGAAGGCGGGTTTGCGGTGGAGAGTTGGAAATGGTGAAGATATATATGTTTATCAGGATCGGTGGGTGCCTTTACCAATGAATTTCAAGATTATCTCAACGCCACAATTTGATGTTTCTATGAAAGTATGTAAGTTGTTTAATGCTGCTGGACAATGGGATGAAGAACTATAAAAAGCTAATTTTTGGGAACAGGAAGTGAAGGCTATCCTCCAAATTCCACTGGCTTCAAATCATAGAAAGGATAAATTAATTTGGCATTATGATCAAAGCGGCAAATACTCAGTCAGGAGTGGTTATATGGTTGCATGCATGAAGAAGCAAAGGGAAAATGGCATGGAAGGGTCCTCGACACAAGATGGTACATTTTTATGGAAAAAACTGTGGAGTTTGCAGGTGCCTAATAAAATCAAATTCTTTCTATGGAGATGTATATAGGGGTTTTTGCCTAGCAGAAAAAATTTGTACCATAAGAAGATCTTGAATTCTCCAATATGTCCACGTTGTGGGAAGAAAGTGGAGTCAGTTATTCATGCAATATAGGCTTGTAGTGAAGTGAAACCAATATGGTCTTTATCACCTTGGAGTGCCAATCACCATGAGTGGAGAATTACATCTTTCAAGGAACTTTGGCAAGCTGTGATTGTGGTCTCAAGTAAACAGGAGGTGGATCTTTTTGCTTTTCTATGCTGGGATATTTGGAATGACAGAAACAATCTGTTGTTTCAAGGACGAAGTCTTGAGAGTGTATCAGTGTTTAACAAAGCTTTGGCTTATCAGACGGAGTTTTACTCTGTAACTCTTGCCCCTATATGCTCCCATAATAGGCAAGGGCCTAGTCAGAGTCCACAGAGTTCTGTTAATTGGCATGCCCCATTGGATGGTTAGTACAAAATTAATGTTGATGGGGCAGCCAAACTTGCTGGGTTAGTACGGGGAGTTGGAGTAGTGATTCGCAATGGAAATAAAGAGTTTATGGCTGCTTGTTCTCGACAAGTGATAGGACATTTTAGTGCACAAGCGGCAAAGGAAGGCCTTCAGTTTGCATATGACCTTGGCTTTCATGACATAGTGTTAGAAATGGATACACAGGGGGTGGTAGATAGAATCAACTCTAATGAAGAGTGTTTTGAAGCTGAAGGGAATATAGTGGAAGATATCAAGGAGATGCAGGGGTGGTTTAGATCTTTCTCCTGTAATTGGCAACGACGAAAAGGTAACAAGGTTGCCCATGAGCTTGCTCAATTTGGCACTCGGAACGCTGGTTTTTTCACATGGATTGAGGAGGAGCCATTATGGCTAACTCCTTTTCTTTCTGCAGATCTAGAAGCTAATGGTTGATCTTTATGTTTGATGGCAAGTGGGAGGTGCTCTTTTTCCTTTGGCGGATTTTCCTCCTTTTTTGGGGGTTTTTTATGCTAAAGGTTTTTTACAGAGGCCCAAACTTGCACATCTTTTTGTTTTCTTCTCCGTGTATTATGCTACTTGATTATTGAATGAAATTCCTTTTCGTAAAAAAAAAAAAAAAACCAAGACCTACGTACTCCTAATCCAAGCATTCCTCATCCAAACATACAAATGATGCACAACTGAAGTCTCCTCTATCATCCCTGTAAATAAATCAAAATGACAAAGAGAGAAAAGAAAGCTAAGATTATAAACATAAAAAATTAGATGGAAGAGAAATTTTACCATTGGTCCATATTTCCATAGAAAACTTGTAAAATGAGCATAAAAAAGACCATCGAGAACCTACAAAAGGAAAAATATATAAGTAAAATGATGGTGAAAAGAAAAGGTAACAAATTTTTAACAACAAAAAAAACATACGAGTCACATAGAAAACCTGCAAAAGAAAAAGTTATAAATCTGCAAGCTTCCTCCTCATCTCCTGATAACCAAATCAGAAAATCTAAAAAGAAACAAAAAATATAAAAAAATATGTAAACAAACTAGACAAATCAAGAGAGACAAAATCTGAAATTAGGGAGACAACGAACATACCAGAAACGCAAAGAAACTAATCCAGAATTCACTAGCAAGATATAGAAGGGTATTGAGAGATTAGGTGACTTTCAAATCAAACCTTTCAACCAGCTTTGATTCTCAAATATAGAACCTCCCTCTACATCTTATGGATTTGCGAAGACCTCAATCTCTCAACTCCTTCATTGATATCGATTTTTTGATGATTTTGTAGGGAGCTTCATGAGGGTGTTTTAGAGAGTGCAGGAGCGAGAGATAAGGTTTTCAGAGACGGGAGAAAATCTGAAAATTTGTCGAGCGCGAATTCACTTAAGTAGCCTTTTTTTAGCGTGTTTTAAAAGACGACGCTTGTTAATGAGAGATAAAGTTTTCAAAGACGGGTGAAAATTTGAAAATTTGTCGAGCGCGAATTCACTTAAGCAGCCATTTTTTAGCGTGTTTTAAAAGAAGACGCTTTTTTAAAAAAAATTTGTCATCTTTACATATCATAAACGACCTTTTTTTTATAAAAAAAAACGTCATCTTTACATATAATAGACGACCTTTTTTTAAAAAACCGTCATCTTTACTTCATAATAGACGACCCTTTTTAAACAAACCACCATCTTTACATATAATAGACGACCCTTTTTTTATATATATAAAAACGTCACCTTTACATATAAAAGACGACTCCTTTTTAACAAAAACCATCATCCTTAATTCATAATAGACAACCCTTTTTTAAACAAATCATCATCTTTACATATAATAGACGACCCCTTTTTTAAAAAAAATTGTCATCTTTACTTCATAGTAGACAACCTTTTTTTAAACAAACCATCATCTTTACATATAATAGACGACCTTATGTTATATTTAACGAAAATATAAATAAACCCTTAATTGTTAGTGAATATATTGTTTTGATGGCATACGCATTCTAAGAAACTAGTTTCAACGATCCAACCGTCAAACTTTTTTGTTTATACTTCGAGATCATATACGCCAAAAATCAGAAAAAATAAACATTCAGAGCTCAAGTAACAGGACAAAAAATTTCGACGGTTATAAATGAAAAATCATGATTTAACGGTTATTTTAACTCCGATTTTGATGATTTTTTACCGCTACACTCCTTGACCCTATATGAATACAATGACTGAATTTGATCTTCAATTTAAAATATTTACACTAGTGGATACCACAAAATCTTATGTTATATTTAACGAAAGTATAAATAAACTCTTAATTGTTAGTGAATATATTGTTTTGATGGCATACGCATTCTAAGAAACTAGTTTCAACGATCCAACCATCAAACTTGTTTGTTTATACTTCGAGATCATATACGCCAAAAATCGGAAAAAATAAACATTCAGAGATCAAGTAAATGGACAAAAAATTTCGACTGTTATAAATAAAAAATAATGATTTAACGGTTATTTTAACAAACCATCATCTTTACATATAATAGACGACCCTTTTTTTTTATTATAAAAAGCATCATTTTTATATATAATAGATGACCCTTTTTTATAAAAACAGTCATCTTTACTTCACAATAGACGACCCTTTCTTAAACAAACCATCATCTTTACATATAATAGACGACCCTTTTTTATAAAAAAAAATTGTCATCTTTACATATAATAGACGACCCTATTTTAAAAAAACCGTCGTCTTTACATATAATAGACGACAGTTTTTAAAAACCGTCATCTTTACATATAATAGACAATTCTTTTTAAAAAAAAACCATCATCTTTACATATAATAGACGACGGTTTTTTTTATTTATAAAAAGCGTCATCTTTATATATAATAGTGTTTGGGCCTAATTTGGCACGCCCAGCCCAACAAAAAAAGAAGCCCAAAATCCAGAAAGGCTCAGCCCAAAGCTTATCAAACCAGACAAACAAACTTGGGCCTCAAAAAGCAAAACAGCCCTAGGGCTCCAAAAAAACAGACCCGATTGTGATAAAAAAAGGGGGAGCCCAGAAACAGGAAACAAACCCATGTGACATCTCTGAGTTAGAAAAAGTCAACAATTGCAACTGTCATAGCAGAAGTGATTGAAAAAATTAATGCCATCAAGCTTTTCTGAAAACTCTGCCAGCTGAAGATCAAAAATGTAACACCACGACCCCAAATTTATCCCATGTTTTAATTTATTTAAGTGGAATTACGAATTTACCCTTGGGATAGGGGTAATTTGGTCATTTCTTATCCGAAAGGAGTTTGGGAATTCCGGTTGTACCGTTGCGTAGAGCACGGCGAGATGAGTCCGTGGACACGTAGTGGGCTCGAATCGGAGTTGTAACGAGAGAGATATGATCAAATGAAGCTCAGTGGCATAATCGTAAATATTTTGAAATGGATTTTTGGTTAAAAGACGGAATTGCCCCCGTCTCTTTCTCTCTCTCTCCCGCGCGTCTCTCTCTCTCTCCCCGACGGTAGCTCCTCCCTCTCTCTCTCTTCGAAACTCCGGCCACCGTCCATGCCAGTGGATGGGACCGGTGCCAAAAGGACCGGCTCAGCCCCACCGTCAAGACTTGGCCCTTCCCCGACATCGGCCGCCGCTCCAGTCGCCGGAAAATGCAGGTTTTTGGCCGGTTTTCGCCCGAAACTTTGCCGGCTCGATCTCCCTCCTCCGGCCACCGTTTCTGGTGATTGAGGTATGGATTCCTACCTATTTTTCATGATCAAGCTGATGGTTGGGTAGAATTTCATAAATTTTGAGGCTAAGTAGCTCGATCTACGAATTGAAATTCGGCCAGTTTTAGGATCGAGATTCCGGCCACCTCCGGTCAATTTTTGGGGTATGCCCAAGAACAAAAGTGACTCCAAATTAGGTGTATTACCTAGGGTAGGAGTCTTGGCTCACAATTTGGAAGTTTTCTGGCGATGCGATATCGCTTTAGACACCCACGCGCTGCCGGTGCCTGTGGCGGCACGTGGGCACTGTAGCTGAGGGGCATTTTTGTCATCCCACTGTGATCCTCAAGATGTCACGAGCGCGTAGGTGTGCTCGGATTTCATTTTGGGTACCGTTAGAGTCCCGAATGGATATCGCATATCGCATATTTTCCGGGTGCGCTAGGTTTGGACCGTTGGATGATCCTAAAGTTATAATATGTTGATCTAGGTATTACCAGGATCGTATAGGATTCAACGGATCGTAAAACGGAGTCCCGGATACTCCGGAAAAGCCAACCCTAGGGGTAAGGTTTAGTAACCGTTCGATCGTGCGATCGTGAGCGATCCGACCGTCCGATCTAGACCAAACTTGCAGGACGTGTGTTTTAAACCTTGTAGAACCTATAGGAACTGTCAGATCGGAATTTGGAGGTCGTGGGCCTCGCGGGCCTGTTTGACCAAGTTTGGGTAGTCTGACCCTAGGTTGACCGCTAGACTTTTGTTGTAGTTCTACCATCCCAGGAGGGTTAGAATGACCTTAGTGACAGGTCTTGAGCGTTGTTGAGTTAAATGGTTTATATGCGAATTTAGAATATTATTATATGATTTAAATTGCGAAATTATCAGATGCTATACCAGGGTTGAGGTTTATTTAGGAGTAGAAATTATATTTTTATATTTAATTGTGTGGACATATAAAGGTAAATAAAGCGATCAAATGTTAGTTTACAGTGCTATACGCACTACCCCACGTACCCCCCCCCCATATTG